AAGCTGCGAACAGTGCCATCAACCAGCCTGATCAAACTAACATTCGTAGAACATACCATCTAAAAATAACAAAATACATATTTTCAAGTGCACATGGAGCGTTCACAAAGGAGACCTTCCTCTAGGGTGCGGTGGGTCCTATAGCAACTTTCTGGTTTATTTGAATTACTGGTGGAGATCTAGCATTGACTTTCCATATTTTTATCTAGTATCTCAAGGAAGCATATTTCTTTTATGGTTCATATGTTTCCCATTGGCTTTGTTTTTTGATGACCAAAGTCATTCATTAGTCATCACAAATGGTTCTGAGTGCTCTGGGATCCTATTTTCCTCTATTCCTTAGGTCAAAAATGTTTTTACTATTAACCCTGTGACTCTCTGGAGCTGATTTCTGGTTTTCTTTAAAGGTGAGGGTTGTTAGTGATACGGGAGCCGCGGTGAAGAGAAGGGTGACAGTTGCCCTTTGTGGGCCTGCGTAAGGAGCTCCGGCGAGACAGTAGAGGACACGTGAAGGGGAAGGCGGTCGTTAGCCAAATGCCACTTTCCCCATTATGGCTTCAGTGCCGCAGGGTTCGCTCATAGCGCAGCCTCGTGAAACCTGCCTGTCGGGATCCTCCCAGGGCCCACAGGTTTCTGGAATTTGCTTCCCTCGTTGTCATCTTCTTTCTCCTCCTGAAATAAAACTAGTTACACTCGGGTTATAGGAGCCGGCCAGAAGCGCTCGGATTTCCAGCCCGCCCATCACGCCTAGTCGCGGCGACTCCCTGGCTTTCAGCAACAGCTTGGAGGCCCGTTGGAAATGTCGCTGCTGTCCCGTGGGCAGCGTGGAAAGCCGGAGGNACGCCCATCACACCTAGTCGCAGCGACTCCCTGGCTTTCAGCAACAGCTTGGAGGCCCGTTGGAAATGTCGCTGCTGTCCCGTGGGCAGCGTGGAAAGCCGGAGGAGCAGGCGCCAGGCGCGCTCGCCCCGCATTCGGCGATCCCGGGGCTGAGACCTGATTCCGCAGGAAAGGCCTGGGCAGTTAGACGGCCGCTCTGGCTGCAGAAGGTCCCGCACGTGAGAGAGAAACACAGGCTCCGAGGCCGGGGGCGCTGTTCAGATCTCCAGCTGGGGTGGGATCTAGGGATAATGAAGTTTCTAAACTAAGATAAGTGCCGCAGATTTTGTTTAGGCCGTTTTGCTACAATTCCAGTTTGTCTTGGGTCTTCCATGTACTAACATGCCATCGTGACTAAAACTTTTATTATTGCAGTTTTTGAAAATTCTCCCGGGTTCTAGACTGCTCTTTGCTGCCGAGTAGCAGTGGGACTTAAGCAGGTTCCTTGCGCATCCTGTTTAGGTCTGAGAAGAATTAAACTGCTTCTCTAGGAGGGGAGTGTGAGGACTGAAAATAGGTTTTCACATTTATCACAATGTCTGGAATACATAGGGTGCTCGTGACTTCTAGCTCATGGCTTTCTAGGCACGTCCACATTGTGCTAAGCTTGCAGGTCAGCATTAGCTTAATCCTCTAGCTGTGATCTAAGATACTTGTCTTTACATCCTGTGCCCTGCACTCGAGGGTGGGTTGGAGAGTGGAAGATAGAAACAGCTCTGCTCTAAGAGCCAACGACGTCAAATGGTTCTCCGAAAAGAAAGGCTGTTGAGCTCATCAAGACCATGGTCTTAAAGCCAGAAGCAACTGGAAATAATGTCTGGTTGGAAATACTGTTTTCACTTGTCAGTGTCATTAGAGTCAAACTTGTTTTTTAATAGTAAACAAAATCAAATTTAACATTGGTATTCGGGAGCTGAGAATCATTCAGGTAATCCACTAAGAAGGCCCCCAAAATAAAAAGAGCAGCTTATAGCCAACTTTAGGTAAAGAAAATAATGTGGAAGGAAAGAAAGCACAGGTCGGCTTTCTCTGTCACTGTCGCTCATACAATCAAGTGTCCCATCGCTCAGAGAGACCCTGAATTGTCAAATATTAATTTTAGATTTTAAATGATAATTTTTGAAAAGAAATTAAATTGGTGTGTCATCACAGTCCAGATGAGTGTAAGTAGAATGCTATTTTTATGTCAATGAAATTTACCAATTGTTTTAATTCAGTTCTTAGGAGGCTCAGTATCACCGTTTTTATCAATGGTGTTTTCAAAGGTAAAGACAGGTGTCAGCCCAGTTGTTTGAGTTGCTACTAATCTTTGGCTTAACTGTTGTTGATTTAAAATAAAATGTCAGTCTTTTTGGTAAAAAGCTCTTGGGAATGCTGTCAGAGAAGGACATGTGGAATGAGCTATTGATTACTGATGGCCCTTTCGACACAGTAGCCTAATGCTAAAGCGGAAGTGTCCTCGTGGTATCCTGTGCATCAGCTCATCGCTCTTCGTGGATTACAGACCTTCCCGGTCCATTGAGGCGCCTCCTGCTCCAGGGGCCAGCCCCCATCCCCAGCCAGGAGGGAGCCTTTCGCCTCAGGGCCCAGCAGCCTGTGCACTCCTCTCTGTGGCTGTCAGTCGGCACCGCACAGTCATCCGCGTTCCTTTCCTGGGAAACTGTAAGCACCTTGGGGCACAAACTGGCAGACACTCAGATGAACCCACCAGACAAATGACTGGACGTCTGCTGTGTCCAGAGTACGTGCCTTAGGTGTACAGACGTGAGCTTTGCCCAGCACTGTCCTTGTCTCATCCTCGCGGTGCCCAGTCTTCCCCCGACGTTTCTCCTATATTCCGCGATGCCCTCTTTTCAGTGAACTTCTCCTGGCGCTACTCGAGGCGATTTCGGAAGATAGAGGTGGCGAGCTGGGTTTCTGAACTGCCTTCTTTCAATACATACTCTTTCTAGGTGATCCCATTTAGTCTCATGCATTTTAAAAAATCATCCGTACGTCAGCGACTCTCAGTTTTGTATCTCTAGCCCAGACACCTCTCCTGAACGTCAAGTCCACACATTCCAATTGCCTTTGAGGTCTCACGGGTACCCGGAGAATGTCTTAAAGAAAACTGGTCTTCCTCCCAAATCTGGTCCCACTCTTCAGGAAAGCCCCTTCGTGCACCCCACTGGCAGGCCAAAACCCTGGAGTGACCTTTGACATGTCCTCTCCCCCACCGTCCGCGCTGGGCCCATCTCCCAGTCCTGTTGACCCTGCCTCCAGGATGTCCCCCCTCTGGCCCTGCCCCCGGCACTGCCCGCGGTGCGGCTCCTGCTGGCCCCTCTGGGTCCGCTCACCGGGGCCATCACAGTGATCTTTTAAAATCTTAAGCACCTCATCTTTTAAAATTCTCCTTGATTCTTACTGTCCTCAGGACGAGACACAGGAATCCTCAGCGTGGCGTCAAGACTCTGTCGCCAGGCCCCCTTTTCCAGGCCCTCCCAGGCCACCTGCCACCGCTGTGATCCCAGAGGCTTGCTGAGCTCCCCTTGCTGCGGCGGGGTCTGCCCACAAGCTCTGCCTTCCGAGAACCTTCCCTGCGTGAGGCTCGCAGCCTCCCAGCCTGACCGTTTCCTCAGGCAGGCTTATCCACGACCTCGGACTGCGGCGGGTCCCGTGCTCCCCGCGTCTGGAAGTGTCCTGAATGTTCTCTTTCTCTCGCCTGTGGTAGCTGGCGAGATCCATTTCACTGAGTGATTATTTGCTCGGTGTCTCGCTCCCCGTGGTTCTGTGTGACCATTGAGGGGGCACTGGGGAGCGGAGGGACTGAGGGAAGAGAGAGAGAGAGAGAGAGAACTCCTGGGCATGGAGGGATAAATGGTGTTGGAAAAAACAAAAATAATAAAAATAAATTAACAAAAAACATAAGCAGCCAGGAAAGTTGGACAGTTATAAAGTTTAAANCTGGGGAGCGGAGGGACTGAGGGAAGAGAGAGAGAGAGAGAGAACTCCTGGGCATGGAGGGATAAATGGTGTTGGAAAAAACAAAAATAATAAAAATAAATTAACAAAAAACATAAGCAGCCAGGAAAGTTGGACAGTTATAAAGTTTAAAAAAGAAAAAAAGACCATTGAGGACCAAGACCATGTCTGTTTTGTTCACGCTGCAGACCCAGGGCCCGGCACCTGGTGGAGAGTCAATGCGTGTTTGCGGCATGGGTGGGATAAACGGGGTAAAAGCCCGGAAGCGCGTGGAAATGCTGCACAGCAGGACGTGCTTCACTCTGCAGGCAGCGCCTCGCCGTGTGGGGACAGGTTTCTGCCGGCGTGTGGACGCAAGCTCGTGACTAAACCAGGCTCCTGCGGCCTCTCTGACCGTCCGACCTTAGTGTCGTTATTACCGAGGAACACATGCAGCAATAGGAAGAAATATTTTTTATCAGTTTGACATCAAATACTTGTTGACCGCCTGCTGTTTGCCCGGGACTGTTCTGGAAGCTGGAATACAGCCTGTGACGCTTTCCCGTGGGGGCGGATGGGCAGTAAACTAGCACAACGAAAATTGTAGCTTTTGAAAAATACTACGAGCTAAATAAAACGGGGTAGTGGCCTGGGTGGGTGGCTAGAGGAATCCTATTTAAAAAGGTGGTGTGTGAGCGGAGACCCGAGTGACGAGGGGTCAGCGATTGGAGATCTGGGAGGAGGGAGCTCCGGCCACGGGGAACAGCAGGTGCAGGAGCCCCGAGGCAGGCGCTGCCTGACGTTTGAGACACAGGCGTGGCCACTGGTCCGGGAGCGGGCCGGATGCGAACACGCTTCTAGAGTCAGCGATACCGTGGCTTAAAGTCCTGACTCGCCCTTCCTGGCTGTTTATCACAAAATGGAGACAATAGTGATGTCGCACTCATAGGAATGTTGCCGAATAGATGATGCGGGTTAACATGAGCAGTAATGTCCATCACCGATAACTGAAACGTGATTAATCTGCCGTCACAGAATTTCTGTCAAGGAGAAACCGGTGGAGTGAATGTTCAACCAAGGGCTGTGTTTATGTGTTTAATAGTTTACTAATGGGTTATCTTTTAAAACCGTGTTGCTAATTATTTACAAACATTCATATCTACATTGATTTCTCACAAAAGGTGAAAAAGCTGAAGAGGGAGCTCTCGCAGATGAAGCAGGAATTGCTCTATAAGGAACAAGGCTTTGAAACCTTGCAACAGTGAGTATAAAAATGCTGCAGTTGCCTTTAGAGTAATGCAAAGCCCCCTCACTAACACAAAGCAAAAGCAAATACAGGTTCCATATAGAATTTCTCAAGGAAACTTACAGGTAAAAGCTCAAAGCTCTGCACCGAAAACAAAAAAAGCAATCAACCAGCAAACCAAAAACTTGGGGAAATCTATGTACTTGGAAAAAGACTGAAGGTTTTATTAATCATTGGAGATCCAAAGAGACCAAAGTGAAAAACAAGCTTTGTCTCCCGGCACCTGCGGGCTGCTCCAGGATTGAGGTGTGGAGCTGAGATGGGCATGGACGTGCCTCCCACATTCTCCTTCAGGCTGCACTGAGCATGTCCCCAAGGCTCTGCCTCTGTCACCCAGCATGACCTGGAGTCTCCCCGTGGGTGGTGACCTCAGGGAGTGAGGGGACCGTCAGCAGAGGAGCCTGAGCCCCTCACTTCTGGGTGCCCCCTCTCCTCTCCAGGCCCACGGCTGGGCTGAAGGCGGTTGTAGAAGACCCAGGGAGGCAGGAGCTGGCGATCCACACCCCGTTCCCAGCCCCTGGAAGCCACGGCTCTCCCTGCCACCCAGCCCGGCCTAACTAAACCCTGACAGGCTCTCTGGACTTCCCAGCTCTCCTAACCTCAGCCACAGGGCCTCTGATGCAGAGGAAGCCGCTGGTCCACAGCCACATGGCCACAGAGGCATTTGGAGGCCACGTCCCCTGAAAGGCAGTCAGCTGGCCCAGTGCACCAGCTGAGGGGCCGTGGGGCCGTGTTTGTAGGGATTTCCCTGATCAGGGTCATGTTCATCCTGTCTCCCTTAATAGTGATCCAAGCTAGCGAGGCACCACCCCTTCTGAAGATCCCAGCGTCCCTGGCCAGGCAGACACACACTGATTGTTCTGTGTTTCCATGAGGAGTTGTATCTCAGATGCCCAGTCGCTCTTGACCACCCGTCATGTGACTTCCCTTTCAGGCACTGGTTTGGTGGCTCACTCTTTTTTGCCTACTCACCTCATGGAACCCCAACTGTGATATGCTTTGAGATGCACCCATCCTAATGGTTCTCAAATATGACCACGTGTTAACATCATCTGAGGGGCTCTTAAAAACATGCCCATTTCTGGTCTGCTCCCCAGATGGATTTTATGAGATCCCCAGGTGGGGGCTTAAATATAGCTCTGCTCTAAGAGGTTCAGTTGGTTGCAGAGCCCCCTTAAACACTGGGCAGACCTGGGAGGACACAAATGTCATTGAGTAATTGTATCAACATAACAGAGCCTAAAGGGGGGCTTTGTGGCCGGAGTGGGGAGAGAAGACAGATTAGAGGAGCACCGTGGAATGTTTAGCTGCACGTTAACCGTTTTTCAGGCACGTGAAATCATAACCCGCGTCACCACCAGGGGTTAAAGGTTAGCCAAACTTGCTGTTTTTGTTCTGTTGATGAAACAATGCCACATTGTCTCAAAGCAGTTTGCTTGCAAGCAGTTTTTATAGGAATCTGAGGCATGTTTAAGAATCTGTCAATAACATTCCACAAGAAAACAATAGCCATTTGTTGTAAAAACTCCGGCATTCTCCTGCAATGATGCTGATCCCTCCAACCGAGAGCAGAGAGATATGGTATCTAACCCCAGCGGCCTCTGTCTCTATCTCCCCTGGCGACAAAATTAAGCTGTTTTCACTTAGACCTTAACCACCGCGCTCCTAGAACACTGAATAGTAATTGATCAAACCCAGCGACCATACTCTTCAATAAACCGTATTCCTGGTGCTCTAGGGGACTTTTACTTGGGGTCGGGATAGAAAGTGTATTTCAGGAAAATGTTTAAATAGAATCCCACTGCTTTTGCAACTTTTCACTTATTCACAATAGAATGAGACATTTTTGTTGAGTCTGGAATTACAGTGTAACTTAAACCGGGGCTTTCATTTTCCTCGGCACGATCTTTTATGCCGGATGAGTGTATGTGGTTTTACTCTCTAGTTACTCATTCGGTCATTCTCTGGTCCCACGTTTGACCTTGGCCTAAGCGATAGTGCCGTGTGTGTAGCTGGAGACCAGGTCAGGCCATATTTCCACTCTGCTGCCTCCAGCATTCACTCAGAATTGGCCGGGAAAAGGCTGGGACCCCCAGCAAGAGAGCACACACATTTTCTAAGGTGGCCTAGCTCCAGGGGGACTTAACTTTTGCAAGGAAGGCTTGCAAATGGCAATCTCTTCTCTTCCAGAAGAGACTAAGACGTAGGTAACAATTCATTGCAGGGTGCACACAAACCAAAATGTTGTTGTTTTTTATTTTTTCAGGGAAAAGTATAAAATGGCATTTCTCAAATTAAGAACAGAAAACACAGTACTTTGTTTTAAAAATCAGCAAATAATGCTCATATTTTATTATATTGCCAGTTAGGGTCAAAAGAGAAAAGAGGTGTCAGATGAAAAGTGGAGGAGAAAAGGGAGAGTGAGGGAGGGAAGGAAAAGCCACATTGAGGGCAGAGAGGCTCAGAGGAGGCAGGAGTGGGAGGAAAGACCAGAAGGGCTCCCTGGTGGATGCCAGGCTGAGGTGGCCCGTTCTCGTCAGGTTCAATATTCATCCGGTTGAGCCGAGATAGCCAGGAAATTGTCATCTATTTTTAAAGCTCGCTGAAATTTAAATTATCCATCTTGAAGCAGTCCTGCTTTTATTTTTAAAAGGTAAAGTTAATTCCTGAAAACAGCTTACCTGCTTTTTTATTTTCAAATGTTAAAGTTGATTTCTGAATTAAAGATCTGTTTCACTGTTAAATTCTGAAGTTTTTACCCAAATAGGAAAAAATTACCTGGGCTTTAGAAATTCACTTTGACACAGTTTGAGACACCTAGCTATTGCATGAAATCGCACAGGTTTTTTAAAAATCAAAATAAGTTTTTTGCCTCAACTATTAAGGACTCAACGATTTCACTGAAAAATCCCTTCCCAGATAAAATTAACGAATATCCAAAGTGCTTCCAGTGTTTTAATCAAATAGTCTAAGTGTAAAAGTCATAGGGCCCGAGCCCGAGTCTGTCGTTTTGAAGGTGTCACCTGACCAGCCCAGTGTTTAGGTGATGCAGGGGCTAAGTTCGCCTCACCTTTCTGGCCTCGGTTTCCTCATTTGGAGGAAGAGACTGGCAGGGTCCCCTCCCACCCCAAACACTGTGTGTGCTTCGTTCAGTGATTTCATTCATTGCACTTTGTTATCAAATGATCCCATGATGAGATTTATTTTCTTTTCTTAGGTTCTTTAAGACTTTAATTGCTCATTCAACAGCATAAAATATTTACTAAACTAGTACTTGGAAAATACGTTGTCTCCACACTGCACTTGTGTGAGTAAACTTTGGAAGAGTGGAGAAGATGGCCTTGTTGTTGGTCTTTTCAGATTATACAGTCGCATTGAAACAAATACAAATCATTAAATGTCTTAAACCCAAGGAGCTCAGAGCCAGTTTCCTGTGATTCAGTCGCTGGCTTTTCTCCGTGGGCGAGACTGCGGCTGTGTCCTGAGGAGGCCTGCGGGGCGGGGGCGTAGTGGACACCTGGGCAGCTCGCCGTGGCTGCTGCGCCCTGGGCAGGTGGTGGGCGAGCCAGGAGAGCGGGAGGGAAGGCACTGTTAAACCTTCGTTTAGGAAGAAGTGGGTACGTTGGTTGGGCCCTTCAAACCCAAACAGCCAGGTTCCATGAAGTCCACAGGGTGGCCATGTGGACCGCAAGGGCGTTTGCAGAGCAGGCTGCAGGGAGGACTCTTTATTCAGTGGTGGTTGACGAGTGAGCTCATCTGCCCCCTCCTGACTTATTCCTGGACTTGAACTCATTCGGCAGGGCAAGCAGTTTTACCCCGACTCATAACCGTTACGAATACAGAATAAATATACCTGGTGTATTTGAAAGGAAGGAGAAACTAACTGCACAGTCCAGTAGGGTAGGGTGCTTGCTAGGGTGAGTAATAATCGCTCCCGTGTATGAGGGGCCTTCGGGCTGCAGGCACGTGCTGGGTTTTGCAGACATTCTGCAGGTAAAACTCGGCCACAGGGATGAATCCCAGAGTCCCTGTGGTGAATCCCGGAGTCCCTGTGGTTGTCCCTCTGCTTAATCGTTCCCCGCCTCCCAAACTTTGTCAGGGTGGATCAGGAAAGCGTAGGATGAGGTTTGAGCTCTGCTGGCAGTGGGATGAGCCAAACAGACTGAGGGCAAAAAGGCTGGGCCTGAAAGTGATTAGAAAGGGCCTGGGCAAGGCGGGAGGTGGGAGG